CACCTCCACCTCTCCTAACAGTCCTGCAAACACTCATGAAAGTAAAGTTAGGAGGGGCTGTTTCATTGAGAACCTTCTAGCCATGTTCGTTTAGAAACATAAAATCCAGGCTGTTTGTGGTTATTAAGTCATTGATTAGAAATGATTTATTTTTTAGTGAGCAAATGTTTAAAAATGCTAACTTGATGGCATTGCATTTGGTCTCAACAGCAATATTAGTTTGATGCATAACAGGCCACAGATTAGATGAGTCAGCCGTACGGCTTGAGAAGGGATGTACACAACAATATATAATACATTAAAGTTGTCTAGATATCAAAGTGTGTACGTGTGTGTATATACTGAAAAAAGCAGCTTTATAATATACTAGTAGTGTAATGCTAATGCATTTCCAATGAGCTTAAATACAATTGAAATGTACTTGAAGTACATTAAAACCAGGGTGCGAACTACGGGGGAGCTCGGCTCCCCTTAATAAGACATGGGCTCCCCTGAAAACGTGATTTATGAAATTTGGGGGGGGTCTCAAAAAATACTGACAATGTGTTATTTTGACATGCAATTTCAGTTTTGTGTAATGTGATCACCGTGGATTATTATGTGTAAAATTGCAAAAATATCTCCCCCAAAGTCCACGGTATAGTTCGAACACTGATTAAAACGATGCTTCAAATATACTCTAACTGTAGTTCATGAAGTATTAAAAGGACATTGTAAATGTATTTTTAAGAAATACACTTAAATTGCACTAAATATACTTAAAAGTGGTTCCAATTTAACACAATTTCAATATATTAAATATATTACAAATAGATTAAAATCAAACTTAAACATATCTTGAAATACACTTAATATACTTAAAGTTGTTTCAAAATAATACATTTAATATGCACTTAGTATAGTATAATTTAAATATAGTAAGTATGTCTGAAAAGGCACAATTTAAATATATTTCTTTTTTACCTGGGGAGCTCAACCAGATATCACAGGTATGTCTGCAAGACGTCTGTTAAAGACACAGTAATGATGCAGTACACAAGTCGCGGTTAAGACAGTTGACTCTCTCTCTCTCTCTCTCTCTCACACACACACACACGATGCGCAAAACTCCGCATTTGAACAGTCAATAGCAAATACTTAAACTAATAACAAAACAGTAGCTGATTCAGAAGCGCCAGATTGTCATAGCAAAGTCAGAATTACCTCCTCTCCTAGGTTCATGAAACGGTCGTCCATAAAATGCATTGCTGTTCTGTTGTAAGTAATCTTAAAGATTCCTAAATGCATCTACTTTCGGAAGGCCAAATAAAGTGCTTTTGCTTTCGCCTAGAAACACACAGCGTCTCCCTGACATGCTGCTTCAACACTAACTGCGGTTACTGAAACCACGCCTTCTTTCTTTGCGTGAACATTTGGGCGCATTATGCTAATATTTCCACATAGTGAGGTAGATACGTGGGGGCGTGTTAGAACGAGCCGTTTTAGGGGGGCATGGCAGAGTCTTAACTTTGATAAAGAATATCTCTTTGGTTTTGAGACTTTAGTATTTGCAACTTCAGGGATCTTATCTATGCACAATTAGCTTGTAACACTCCAAAGAGAAAGGAAAACTTGAAATCGCATCATATGACCCCTTTAAACCCAACTGCCTGAGTTCTAATCTTGTGTAAAAACCTTTGTTTGTCCGCTTGAGTTTTTTGATGATCGAACGACTCGAAAAACCCAAAGACTCGAGAGATGAACTAATCAATTCTCTTTCCGGCTCAGACTGCATTGGTTAAAGCTTATGGGGCTGTCACGTGATCTTATCTATGCACAATTAGCTTGTAACACTCCAAAGAGAAAGGAAAACTTGAAATCGCATCATATGACCCCTTTAAACCCAACTGCCTGAGTTCTAATCTTGTGTAAAAACCTTTGTTTGTCCGCTTGAGATTTTGATGATCGAACGACTCGAAAAACCCAAAGACTCGAGAGATGAACTAATCAATTCTCTTTCCGGCTCAGACTGCATTGGTTAAAGCTTATGGGGCTGTCACGTGATGAACGAACGACTCGAAAAACCCGAAGACTCGAAACAGGTGAACTGCTTGACTAATTCCAGTACAGAACCTAAAAGTAACTCAGATATTTCCTTGTAAATTAAAAAGTAATGCATTACTTTACTAGTTACTTGAAAAAAGTAATCTGATTACGTAACTCGCGTTACTTGTAATGCGTTACCCCCAACACTGATAAAATGTAATCATGCTGTGTATCTACCTGATTTTCGGCGCTTTTATCTTAATCTTTCTCTCCCTCAGTCCAAACAGCCAGTAGATTTAACAATAACATAAATGTACCATAGTATTACAATGATATCTGGATTTAGTACCCATCAAAATATGTAATACTATCCCTGATAGCAACAGACTCCGGGGCGGATCCGACCTCAAGTCGGCAGCTCCGCTGTACTGTCAGACTCTGTTCGGTCATTCGCCCAGAATATGCCCCGCCTCCGGACAGCGCGCTGTCAATTAGCGGACTCATTATGGACACGGCGCGAATTAGGGATCCGAACGCGCTTCTTTTTTTTTTTTAACCGGTGCGTCTCAGAAATCCTCCTCAGAGTGGAGAAGCTGCGGCCGGTGTCCGGCCAGGTTGAAGAAGACTGAACTCGGTAAGAATACTTTTAAAATATGCTTTATTTGTACAGTTGCCAGTAACATTAACATTAATAAAGTTGTTAGTTGCTTTGTTGTAGTTTTTCATTTTTGAAATTGCCTGTACTGTCAGACTCTGTTCGGTCATTCGCCCAGAATATGCCCCGCCTCCGGACAGCGCGCTGTCAATTAGCGGACTCATTATGGACACGGCGCGAATTAGGGATCCGAACGCGCTTCTTTTTTTTTTTTAACCGGTGCGTCTCAGAAATCCTCCTCAGAGTGGAGAAGCTGCGGCCGGTGTCCGGCCAGGTTGAAGAAGACTGAACTCGGTAAGAATACTTTTAAAATATGCTTTATTTGTACAGTTGCCAGTAACATTAACATTAATAAAGTTGTTAGTTGCTTTGTTGTAGTTTTTCATTTTTGAAATTGCGTTGTGGAATGTCCAGTTAAGGTTAGCTCTTTAGCATTATTAGCAGCATTATCATAGATTTGAGTAAGTTAATAATAAGCCTATTTGGATGGGATCTCCCTTCTTTCTGTGAGACGGGTAGTTTATTTGGCTATTCGTATTTTAATCGTATAACGTTATAAAGGTAATTTTTCACCCCTCTTCAGGAATAACTGCAGGCGATATTATTCTATATTTTCCATTTAATGTTGGTTCTGGAATATTATCTCAAGTCTATTTTTGTATATATTTTGACAAATATATTCCTCACCTCTTGTAATGTTGTTTCAGATAATTTATATGAAATGAAAAAAGACTAAGATACTGTGTATGTGTTCTGTTGCAGCTTTACAGCTCATTCAAGTGCTCCAGTCTGGTTTTTGATTCTACATCATCCTTCGATATTCTACTTCATCTTTAAAAGTAAGATCAAATACTGACAATGATCCACACTTCAGCTTTTAACATGTAATCCTAAATGTGGAATGTCAAAATATTCATATCCATATTTAAGATTAAATGTTTACAAACCTACTTTTACATCCAGTGGCGGTTCTACATTGAATTACACCCCCCCAAAAAAAATCTGCACAAAGTTATATTTTATTATAACAACATAAGTGAAAGAGAAAATTATATTTCTCAATTGCACAAATCCTTCATTAGAACATTTGAAAAACACACTTAAGAGAATCCAGTTAACTATTGCAATTACAACAGGGAACACACTTTTTAAGGTGCCCTCTACACCTCCAACATTGCCAAAAGACAATGAACACAATTCTGCACAAAATATGGCAATATAAGTTATCAGAACTTAAATATACACTATACACTGTATTTAATTTGCATATTAATGTGTTCTTGGAGCAACATTTAATGAAAAAAGAAGTGTAATAATTGGAGTAATAATTGGCAACATTTTAATAATAATATCTAATATTTCATAGGAATATTGATGTATAATTTATTTCCATATTCACTTGTTGTGTCTCCCAAAATGCCTGATAAACATGATTTAAGTCCTGGTGTTCTCTACAGTGGACATGTATGAAATCAATGCCCTGTTCTGTAACAGAAAGTCATTTTTTGATTTGAAACCCCATAACGTTTTGACATAACGTCCGAGATGTTGGTTTATGAAATACAATTTGAAAAGTAGTCCGATTTAAATTATAATTACACAGATTTTAAAATTCCTTTGGCTAATTACAGGGCCTAACGTTAACCCAACTGATGGAAATAAATAATAACTGAACTTGTAACAGTTTTGTTGCAAAGCACAATATTATGGTGAAATTAGATC